TAATAATTTAATTCATAAAAATATATTTATTTTAATTTATAATAACAGAATAATTAACTGTTTTAATGTAGTTTAAAGAGGTTATTTAATACTATAATTTTAAGTTATCAAATTAATATCAATTCTTTTTTTAACATTAAATAAATAATTTAATATTTTCTCAGTCTATTATAATAATTATATTATCAAGTTATTTTTAATATAAATAAATATTATTTTATATTAAAGATTTGCTAACCAAAAAAATTTAACTTCTAGCAAAAATATGTTCGCAACTTATACTAAAAATTTTTCTTTTTCGTCCTTCATCTTCTTCAAAATCTCTTGTCATGGCAGCATCTACCCACACAAAAGTGATAGACAAGAAAGTTCATTTATGAAGTAAAGTATCAATTTTGTTTGTAAAATTGTAAAAGTCTTAATTTAGTCTTCTAAATTTCAAATTTAGTTAGCTTTTACCAGAACTGATGTGACATTAAACGGAATGTTAAGCTAACATTTACATATAACTATTTCAAATTAGTCCATCCAACTAAAAAGTATATATTTCAATTTAGTCCATTCTAGTTTAATTTTCTCTTCTTCTTCATTCTTCCTCTAATATTCTTCTTCATCTCCGTTCTTCAGATTAAACATTCTTTTACTAAGGATGCCGTAGTTCCAAGATTTAGTTGGAGATAATTCCTTAGTCTTAACTATTTCTCGGTTCCTATCATCACTTCTTCTAACTAATTTTCTATATTTAGGATTTGGATTATTTCTTTGTTATACTATCTTTATTAAATATAAGTCATCATTCAAGTAGTCAGCTATGCACCTATTATATTTATAAATTTCTTTTTATTGCATTTTACTGCCCCTTTCAGGTATTCCTCTTGCAGCCAAACTTACCCTTAGTTTGAGTTTTAGTCTCTTTTACTATGAGTTACAGTACCTTGTCCTATTTTTAAGTTCATAGTCTTTATTGTTCACACACATTACCACTTCATATTTTCTATCTAAATACTATCAATTTTAATAGAGCTGATACCGGTAGGACTTGGGTTAATTTTAGAATCACGTTCTCTACTATCAATTAATAACCTGAACATTCAAAGTTGACATTTTGACAGCACACTCATACTGGAATCCCACATAATTATATTTATACTGGGTCACAACAACATTGCTTCCATGCACACTACACCCATGCGAATATATCAGCACCAAATTAAAGTTCAGATCACGGAGATAAAAAAAAAAGTGCAAATTCCATCACTCTTGTACTGAAACACAACTTTGGCAAAACATAACAATCATACATACATTTTTCCTCACAATGTAGTGCAAAAATGGTTATTAATGAACTTAGATTCAACAAGGCAAAAAGTGCTTAGAACCTAAAAAGGGGAAGCTCTAGGGTCTAGAACAATATAGAGTTGCAAAGAGGATTGTCAAGAGTTGAGAGGGAGAAAAACCTATTTCTTTCGAAGTTTAGAAGTGAAAAAAGAGTTGATCTCTTTGAACTTCTCTAAGCTCACTCTTTCTCATGAATGGATGGGTGTGCAAAAATGAGAGTTGGGGAGTCTACCTTGGCGCTGAAAGGTGAAGTGAATGAAGAGAGGGAAGGAGTGGAGCTTGAGCACTCAGAAAGCAAGCTCTCTATTTGGCTGAAATCTCTGAAATGATGATGTCGCTGAGCTTTCACCAAACCATCAAAGTTGTCTTGGTTCTTTCTCTAAATCTGAGTGGTTTCTTACATACTAAGCTACACACCTCACTCCCCTACTTTGCCCTTTTAATTCTTGAATTAATGAGGGAAATGATTGAGGACTGTTTCCCATGCCACTATGATGATTAGTTGCACGTTTCAAGAGGTGTGAGGTTCATGCTCAATAAGGGAGGCTTAAGTGTTTATTAATTACGTTGGGGAACACAAAGAGATGTTGTCTACTACTCAAGGTCATGCTTAATTTCACTTAAATATGTCTCTTGATATTTTATATAAGAATTAAAGCATGGAACTGGAATTTTAATACAAAATATTGAAGTGGTAAAGGGCAAATTGGAAAACACACGTAGCATTCTACCAAGTCCACTAAGGAACTTAGTTACATATTGGTTCAACTTTTAAAATAAACGGGGAGGAAGAAAATAACAAAAGGTTTGGTCATTTGAGTAGTTTAAAAGAAGAAAAATAATAAAAAAAAAGAATTAAAGGTTCCTTTGGTCTAATACTACTAATAACAGATAAATAAAGTCAACCTAAGGTAAACTTATAAAATCTTAAATTAAGATGTGGGGCTGAAGTCCTCACATGCAAAGTCTTATCATAGAATGATCATTTTATAAGGAAGAAAAATAAAGTTATAATCTACTTAAAATTAATATAAATCACACAAAATCAATGTTTTAATAATAATCTATAGAGAGACAAATATAAATTTCTCATCATCATTTGCTAAGCATTTTACACCCAAGGCATTCAAATAATAATAATAATAATTTTCTAGAAAATGATGAAAGTGTTATATTGTCTCTATAATCATTATCATTATTATCAACTATTTAATGTAATTTCAAATTGTTACACTTTACAAATACTTAATACAAGTGGTACATTAAATAATACACTTAAAATATTTGGCAAGATAATATATTTAAGGATATCTGATAACTAAATAGTCATTAATGAGTAATGTCAAAAAACATGGCCGAGAGAAAATAATAGAATTAAAATGGAAAAAATGTAAACTTGTATTAATATGAATGAGTGAAAAGGTTAGTATTATAAGAGAAAATAGAAAGCTTATATAGCCTATAGAACCAACTAACTACTAACAGTCTTAACTAATCTCCAACAGCCCCCTGCAAGCTGGAAGTACTAGCACTTCAAGCTTGGAATGAACAACACAAACACATAAGATATGTAAAAAGCAAAAAATACATTGGCCAAAGAAAAAAACCAAAGGCTAGTATCAATAAGCCTGTAATATGATCAAAGCTAAAATACTAGACAGAAATGAGCTTCAACACTTAACCATCAAACAAAAGCAACAAAAATCAATGCTTAACAATCCAAAGAAGAAGCCCTCATCAACAATGGCTTAACCACTAAGGGAGGAAGATCATGCTTAATCACCATAAGGCAAAAGCTAAAACCAAACGCTTAACCATCCAAAGAAAAAGTTATAATCATCAGTAACAGCTAAACCACCATAACAAAGTTAGAAGTTAAAAATATCATAACTTAATCATCAAACAGAAGTGATACCTCAACACTTAACCACTTAGAAGAAGCCCAAAAATCAAGCCAAACAAGGTTAAAACAATAACAAAATAACAAGTGCAAACCATTGCATCTGTCAATCTTCATGAATATAAGAGAAATCTTAAAATAATGACCTAAACAGCTTGTGAGTCTCATTTTACATCACTAATGCAGATCAAGAAACCACAAAAAGTCTTCAGCCTAAGCAAAACTGTTACAAAACTTAGTCTCAAATTTGAAGCCATGTGTAACATATCTCTATGTCTGACAAAGCACCTTATGTGTGCAACTAGCCCCAAACTGAAAATTTCAGAAGCTACCAAGAGGGAATACGAGAGACAATAACAAAATGCAAAAAAACTTGTAGGCAATACATCAAACTCCTTTGATGCATCGGTCTCCATAAAACATAAAAATAATACACAGGTAAAACTAATGACTCACAATTTCAAAAATTGCAAGCCAAGAACAATAAATCTTGTTAAAAAAATTTGACACATTGAAACATATTGAATCAATTTCATATCGATAGAAAAAAAAAAATGTTTCAGAACTGATAGGCTTTGTAATTTAGAGCGCAAGACAAGGATCCACATTGAAGTAGCTATTACAGAAACGCAGTTGGAGCCAACATTTATGATCGGTGACCATGGATCTCTCAAGCAGGTAAAGCAAGAATAGCAAGAAATCCTCCTTTTTCCTTTGCTCCGAAGAAAACAAAGTATATAGTCATGATGCATTATAAAAATAACTTTTCCTCCGAACTGAGTCCCTGCAATGCAGTTTCATCAAAAAATTCAAGTAGAATTGCGAATCAGAACCTAGAACTGAAAGACTAAATGGAAGGTTTGGACTGGAGGCTGCAAAGATAATGGCTTCGACGGTGAGGTAAAAGGGTACAAAGAGAACACGCTTAAATGTGTTTGATTGGAACGCCCAGTTAGGGTCATTGTTATTTTTTTTTATGCAAAAAACAAGGCAAAAGGATATAGAGAGAGTGAAATTGTATCTCTGTAGAGTGCCCAATAGAATCAAAAGCTCATGATGAGTACTATGACTCTGATATCATGTCAAGAAACATGGCCAAGAGAAAATAATAAAATTAAAATAGAAGAAATATAAACTTGTATTAATATAAATGAGTGAAAAAGTTAATATTATAAGAAAAAATAGAAGGCTTATATAGCCTATAGAACCAACTAACTACTAACTGTCTTAACTATTCTCTAACAAATAATAATAGTTTTTAAAAAAATTTATAATTTAAAACAGAAAAATTTAAGTTTTACAAATTTTCATCATTTTAACTTAATCAATTTTTTTACCTTAAACAAAAATTAAGTTTTTGTCTAATTCATTTTAATTTTTTTAAAGTAAAATTAGACTGCACCTTGCAATTTTTGTCACATGAGATTGATCGCAAAGATGGTGGAAGTGAGGCACAAAAAAATGGTGGCTCTGCGCTTCCCGTGAGTGAAACATAAGTGATTATAATTTTTAAATATTTTGGTCTATGTTAATGTTGTTAACATATTTCTTTTAAAAGTTGATTTTACTCATGTTAATACATTTCTTTGTATTATTATTAACAAATTAAGAACACTTAATTAAATAAAAATTAATAATTTTATTAACTTTAATTTTTAAGATTAACTTTAAATATTTAAAAATAATAACCACTCTTAATTACTTCAAAATTACCGTGAACATTTTGAACCTTAAAAATAACCTTCCCCACCCACATAACGGTACTTGTGTAAGCTTTTAATCAAAGCATAATAGGCCACGTTTCACAAAATGGATGAATTCGCTGGGAAATTTCAAATCCCTTCAACCGTTTGAATTCGCAGCAACGAAAAGGAAATTTTCTCGAAAAAAAATTAACGTAGAGAATCGAGTTACGATGAAATCGTATAGTAGTAGATGGTTATGCTTGATAGTTTTATTGATTTCAGTTCAATCACAAGTTTCTTTGGGATCTCAGGGGACGGATGAAGCATACGTAACTCTATTGTACGGAGATGAATTCTTACTGGGCGTTCGAGTTCTCGGGAAATCGATACGTGACACGGGATCCAAGAAAGACCTGGTTGTTTTGGTCTCAGACGGTGTCTCTGATTATGCAAATCACCTTCTCCAGGTACGCTTTCGCCTTTGTTTTCCTTTGCAATTTGCATTCATATTGTTATTTTCGAACCTGAGATGAATTTTCTGCTTAAGATTTAGTGGATATCGAAAACTTGCATTGAAGTATATGAACTTAATGTTTCAATTGACATGAATCCTAAATTTTGGTAGTTATAGATGTTTTTGTTGATTTTAAAACTCTTAACGTATGGAGGATATGGTTGTTTTTCGTGCGTAGGCTGACGGGTGGATAGTTGAGAAGATTAGTTTGCTGGCAAATCCTAATCAAGTTCGTCCAAAGAGATTTTGGGGTGTCTATACGAAGCTCAAAATATTTAACATGACTAACTACAAGAAAGGTAAATTATTTATGTTTTTTGTGTTGTTTATTGTGTCTGGTTTTGGAAATTATGGTGTACATTGCAAGCTTTGAATTTTGTTTATTGCCTTTCTAATGGGATGTAAGTGTAACTTCTCTGATTTATTGGCTATACTGAATGTATACGTGCAGTTGTTTATCTTGATGCCGACACCATTGTGGTTAAAAATATAGAAGATCTTTTCAAATGTGGAAAATTCTGTGCTAATTTAAAGCATTCTGAGAGGTTGAATTCGGGAGTCATGGTGGTGATGCCATCTGCTACCGTTTTTAATGACATGATGAGCAAAGTAAACACTCTGCCATCTTACACCGGAGGTATAATGATTTTCTTTTTTGTACTATATTAAATGCTATTTTTTTATTCATTTGATTTTCTTTGTTCTAGGCATCTTGTATTAGATATGGATTTGCGCCTGTTAGGTTTGAACAATTGACTTCATCCAACTTCCTTCTTTCACAGGGGATCAGGGGTTTCTCAATTCATATTACCCTGGATTTCCCAATGCACATATTTTTGAGCCAAATTTGGCCCCAGAAATTTTGGATACTAGACCAGTTCCTGAAATGGAGCGACTTTCCACACTTTATAATGCAGATGTTGGTCTTTACATGCTGGCTAACAAGGTACTGGAATATAGGTAATAATAGGATGTTATTTCCTTTTAAGTGTTAGGGGCAATACATTACTGATACATCTCCCTTTTTGTTTCTTTCCTTTTTAATGTAATTATGCTTTATCTCCTTATTTGAGTTGAGTTCAAATGGATGCCTGTTAGATCCAGTTGTTTTATCTGATTAATGTTTAACTTGTAAGAGTCCAACACTTTTACATATTGATGTTTAGTCAGTGTTCCAATGCATACGATGCAATTAGTATAACAAACTACTGTCTTATCAACAGATATTCTTTGTGATAGTTGGAATCAAATGTTTTTATAATTGAAGTATTAAAAATTGAAGCCTTTCTGAATAGGTTAAGGGGAGAATTGAATAAATCTTTTACAACAATTCCATGCGAATTGATGGAATGAATTAGAGGATGAAGCTGCCGACACTAAAATGACTGGAGATTTTTCGTGCATTGATTTGGGAGCTTATGGTACAAATTGGAGTCAGTGCTGAAGCAGCTCTTTACTAGATATGGCATTGCAGTGACCTATATTAATATACTAATAATGATTAAAGAGTTATTAGTGCTGCTATTGGATTCAAATTTTACTGTTGGCACTTGGCAATTATAGCAGTTAGAAGCAGCACTTATTAACTTTGCTATAATATAGATGGGTCAAGATGATGATGCAGGAGGAAAGCCTCAGAATTTTCCTTCATGTTAACATTGTCATATTACTTCAGTTCCTGCTAGAAACGGTATTTTTGGACGTGTGATCTGTAGTAAACCTTTGCCTTTTAATCAATTCAAAATGTTCATGCTGATTTTAATAATGGTGGGAGGTGGATGAAAATTTCAGGAGTTAAGCAACTCAAATTTTTGTATTTTTTTCCCTAGCTTGAATTAGCTGCGGAGAATATTTAATACATACTCTACAGTCTACACACACACACACACATTCCAACTACCTGCATTTAAGTGTCTCTGTTCCTTATATTGCATCTTTCAGTTTGTATATAACTATTCATGCTGATTTATCCAGTGGATGGTAGATGAGAATGAACTCCATGTGATTCATTACACACTAGGTCCTCTTAAGCCTTGGGACTGGTGGACATCTTGGCTTGTGAAACCAGTTGATGTCTGGCAGGTATTTGTGCAATTTATTAACCTATTTTAGCGATCTCTAAAATTTTGTCTTCCACTAATATTTAAGAAGGCCATAATGCTTAAGTAGTCATGTGACAAAACTGAAGTTTGTGACAAAAGTATGTTAATTATTTGCTTTTACCTTGTCTGTACTGCAGAATGCAAGAGAAAAGCTGGAGGAATCCCTTCCTGGAACTGGAGGGGGAAGAAATCCTAAAGACAATTTTCTTGTGAAGTTTCTTTTTCTGCTACCATTTTGTGCTGTACTCTTCTGCTGCTATCGTTCAATTTTGAAGGTCAGCTATTACGGATCAATATTATTATTCAATCATTAGGAATTGCATATGCCCATAAATATTATATTTTCTGCAGAATCAGGGGTACTGTGGTTCCTGTTGTAGAAACTCACTCTGTGATCATGTCAGACACTTTTGTTATAGGATTAAATCAGGGGGCCCACTTGCATATACTACCATTTCTACTTCAACTATCAATTCCCCTCACCAGGTCAGCTTTTGCTTCTATCTCTTCTAATTTAGGGATTTGGATCGTCTCATGTGAGGCAATTGCAGGACCAAATTCATAGACAATAGAGAATGACACAATTACCTATGTAGAAGCACAGAAAATTTCAAGCTCAGGAGCTCAGTATTAGTATATATCTCTTGTAAGATGAATGGGTCATGGCTCAGGAGCTCAGTATCAGTATATATCTCTCGTCAGATGAATGGGTCATGTGATGGCCTCGCATGAGGGGATTCAAATCCCGTGATTCGATATTTATACTGCTTATGCTTATGTAATTTTTAAAAAACTAAGTATTCTTTATTTTGTTAAATAGATCTTAAATGGTGCTCAATACAAGGTGCCTGCATATTTGGGCGGCACTTCTGTCTGCATCTGTTTTACGGCTGCAGTGGTGTCTCTTGGATTATCTCTCTTGATTGTACCTCGACAAGTAACTCCATGGACTGGTTTGCTTTTGATGTATGAATGGACATTCACAATCTTCTTTATATTATTTGGAGGTTATATCAAATTGATTTATCACTGGGGAAAGAGCATGGCATCACAAACAACTTCCTCTTTGTCTCATCCTGAATCTTCTGATGAGGAATCTGGAAAACGTATGTTCTCCCACAGTAGAGCTTAATTGTGGGGTTTTGTCGTCCATTTAACCATTTCCTCAAGACTTATCCTTTCTTTCTCTCTAATTTCTGTCACTAATTTTGTCTTATCTGTATTCACAGTTCATCAGCGTCAGATGTCATCATGTGATGTTGCTACATGGTTCTATGGATTAGGCATGGCCTTCTTGGCCATTGCTGCTCCATCTTTGCCTTTTCTGTTTGGGATCACCGCTTTGTTTTTACGGTAATTTTTCATTAGAATTTATTAATGAACTGAAATATGCACAGTTGCCATCACGATTGATCTTGTTATGAACTTCCTATCTATTTTAAGTGTAATTTCATTATCCATATTTGTGGGTTAAGAGTAAAACTAATGCTTTGATCTCACTATGTTTTTGTTATCATTAACTAGAATCAATCATTAAATTTCAAAAAATCGAAGTTTAAAACAACCTATAGTCTGTAGTTGGCCTCTTTTATCTCGAGTGGTAACTTAGAATCATGTGCATCTAATAGGCTTTCAACCTGTGACTTCATCCGTCCACCTAAAATATGGAGGAGCAGAACTGTAAGGTTATTTTAACCATTTAATTGGTCTTTCTTTGTTTATTTTTGGCTCACATCATCTTAATTCAGCCCTTCTAACCCACATTAAGCTAAACTGGTGGTTTGGAAAAACAATTAGGGGCTTTGATAACTTTCTAAACAGATAATATGTATTTCTGCACAGAACAGTATTCTTGAATCAGGAGGGTTTTTCTTTTTCTGTCTTCTATTGCATTTTGGTGCGTGTTTTTGCTTATTTACGGTGCATAGAATGCCAGCTCTAGGCTGCATGAAATTCAAATTTAATGATACCTACCGAAATAATCTTCCCTTGTTTGATATGCATTCTGCTTGTAGTGGATTTAACCATATTTGTCCTGTATTTCTAAGTAGTTTTTTAAAAGATATAATCAACATTTTTCTCAAATCTTTCTATTCGAATTTACAGTAATATTTTGTTTTATATATCTAACAGGTTAGGTTTGATGGTTGTTGGGGGCATAATATTAGCATCTTTCGTGACATACGCCTCTGAACATCTTGCTATCAGATCATTTCTGAAAGGGCTGGAAGGGAGGGAGGTTGCACGAAATGCGAGTTCTGTTGTTGATTGAATTCTTGGAAGTGATGTAAACTATGGTAGATTAATTTTCTATTTATTTTTATTTCATTAAAATATGCGTCATTGATCTATATGATCGGGATAAGTTGCCAGATACCACCGTTACCTGTCAATCTTTTATCATGTGTTGGACTGGTAATGCAAAGCATGGGATCTGGCCGAAGAAAATTTTAGGAAAAAAAATATTGAAATTGCTTTTGATAAAACCCAGTAACATTTAATTCGTCTATCTAGCTCGTGTTGAGACTTGTGGTTATTGTTGTATTCAAATAACATGTAGCGTTGTCCTGATGACAAATGTAATACTAAAATTTTGTCCGTGAAGTATATTGTATTTTTACTAGTTTCCAGTGTAACATTATTATTATTCTTTTGTTCATTGAAATTATAATTTAGTCTAAAATAAGACAAATGAATTTATCAAAGAACGTGCTTGCTTGCTTGATGTGAAATGGCTGTCAGAAGTTTGCGTAAAAAGTGTTAGGAATGAAGTCCCACATCGGTGGGAACTTCAAGTGGAGCCCCTCCTTTACTTATATAAAGGGTAAGGGTCCATCAATTAAAATCATCCCAAAATCCTCTCTTTTCCTTTCATTTTGTATTACACCGAGCTTGTACTTGATAGTAATAGTCTTCTATTTTGAGGAGTAAATTTTAGAGTGAGGAGTAGTGTAATTTTTTCTTCTGTGATAATTTTATATTGTCTTTATTAGCTCTTATTTTTCATCTCTTATTTTAGTTGTGTGTTATTATACTGATACTCTGGTCCCAACAGTGGTATCAGAGCTATTGGTTTAGTTTATTCCGTTGCTATTGTCACTAGAATAGTGTTGGTAAAATTCTGAGTATGCTCTGTGATTGCGGTTTAATCCGATCTTTCACATCAAAAAAGAGTTGTTACTAGAAAAGTTTGGTAGTGTGAAACTGCTATCTGAGAAAGTTCTGGCTAGGAAAGATTTGGTATTTAAGAGTGTCTATAGTGACCCACCTCTCTTTCCTGGGAATTTTTTTTGGTGTGTTAGTTCATGGTCTACCTGTGTTATTCCAGTAGACAATACTATTCATAGTGAGAAGTGCATAAGTCGGTATAATTAAGAGAGAAATTATGACAGCAAAATATGAGATAAAAAAATTTCATGGGAGTAATTTCTCCTTGTGGAAATTGAAGATAAGAGCAATTTTGAGGAAAGACAATTGTCTTGATGCAATCGAAGGCAGACCTGCAGATATTTCAGAAGAAAAATGGAGAGAAATGGACAACAATGCTGTTGCCAATTTGCACTTAGCATTGGCTGATTCAGTGTTATCCAGTGTTGCAGAGAAGAAGACTGCAAAGGAGATTTGGGATACACTGATCAAGTTGTACGAGGTCAAGTCACTTCACACCAGAATATTCTTGAAGAGGAAACTCTACACTCTTCGAATGAGTGAGTCCACATCAGTAACGGACCACATCAACAATTTAAATACGCTGTTTGCTCAGCTTACAGCCGCAGATTTCAACATAGTAGAAAATGAACGTGCGGAGCTTCTACTCCAGAGTTTACCAGATTCATATGATCAACTGATCATCAATATAACAAACAACAACATTATCGGTCGTCTATCCTTTGATGATGTTGTTGGAGCAGTTCTTGAAGAAGAATCCAAGAGAAAGAATAAGGAAGATAGACTGAAAAATTCTAAACAGGCAGAAGCATTGACGATGATGAGAGGAAGATCAATGGAACGTGGTTCCAGTGGGAGCCAGAATCATGGTAGATCAAAATCTCAGAGAAGGAAGAACCTCAAATGCTACAACTGTGGCAAGAGAGGGCACGTGAAGAAAGATTGTTGGAACAAGAAGAGTGGAGGAGGGAAGAATATGGAAGTATCAACCTCACAAGGTTGTGTTGCTAGTACCTCAGATGATGGTGAAATTCTATATAGTGAAGTAGTAAATTCTAGAGGCGGAAGACAACTCCATGAATGTTGGATATTGGATTCAGGTGCAACTTGGCACATGACTCCATGCCGAGATTGGTTTTCTACTTATGAACCTATCTCAGGAGGATCTGTATTCATGGGAAATGATCATGCCCTAGAAATTGCTGGAATTGGTACTGTCAAATTGAAAATGCGTGATGGTACTATTCGTACAATTCAAGGAGTACGACATGTGAAAGGCTTAAAAAAGAATCTATTGTCCATTGGGCAATTGGATGACCTCAATTGCAAGATCCACATTGAAGGTGGGATCATGAAGGTAGTTAAAGGCAATCTGGTAGTGATGAAAGCAGAAAAGATCACAACCAATTTATACATGCTTTTGGGAGATACGTTGAAAGAAGCAGATGCATCAGTTGCAATTAGTCAAGAAGAAGAAACAATGATGTGGCATCGTAGACTTGGTTATATGTCAGAACGAGGCCTGAAAATTCTAGCAGAACGTAATCTCTTGCCCGGGCTCAAAATGGTAACCTTACCATTTTGTGAGCACTGTGTGACAAGTAAGCAGCATAGATTGAAGTTTGGCAACGTGATTACAAGAAGCAGACACATACTGGACTTGATTCATTCTGATGTATGGGAATCACCGGAAGTATCTATTGGAGGAGCAAAATATTTTGTATCATTCATTGATGATCACTCAAGGAGATTGTGGGTGTACCCAATCAAGAAGAAGTCAGATGTGTTTCCAGTATTCAAGGAGTTCAAAGCACAAGTAGAACTTGAAACTGGGAAAAGAATTAAGTGCTTAAGGACAGACAATGGAGGAGAATATGTAGATGGTGATTTTCTGGCATTTTGCAAGCAAGAGGATATTTCAAGGCAATTCACAGTGCCTTATACACCTCAGCAGAATGGTGTAGCAGAGCGGATGAACAGAACTCTTCTAGAAAGAACAAGAGCTATGCTAAGAATAGCAGGAGTGGCTAAATCTTTCTGGGCAGAAGCAGTGAAAACTGCTTGTTATGTAATAAACCGATCACCATCAACAACAATTGGTTTGAAGACACCAATGGAGATATGGAATGGAAAGCCACCTAATTATTCTTTATTACATGTGTTTGGATGTCCTGTGTACGTGATGTACAATTCCCAAGAAAGAACAAAACTGGATCCAAAATCCAGGAAATGTATATTCTTGGGTTATGCTAACAATGTTAAGGGGTATCGCTTGTGGGATCCCACTGCCTGCAAGGTTGTTGTTAGCAGAGATGTAGTCTTTGCAGAAAATGAACTGCAAAAGGAGCAGAAAGATGACAGTACTACCAAAGACACTACTTCAGTAGTGATAGAAAGGAAAGCTAAAGAAGATGACAACTCTGAAGCAGAACAAGAGCACGGAGAACAAGAATCAAATGATGCCAATGATGGAGAAACTCAACAAACAAGACATGAGATAAGGAGACCATCTTGGCACTCAGACTATGTGATGGCAAGCCACGATGCATATTGTCTTCTAACAGATGAAGGAGAACCATCAACCTTTCATGAGGCTTTAAGGAGTTCAGATGCTTCATTATGGATGACAGCGATGCAGGAAGAAATTGAGGCCTTACATAAAAACAAGACATGGAAACTTGTTGAACTTCCAAAAGATTGAAAAGCCATTGGTTGTAAATGGGTCTATAAAATCAAACGAGATGGTAATGTTCAAGTGGAGCGGTATCATGCAAGATTAGTTGTTAAAGGATATGCTCATAAAGAAGGCATTGATTTCAACGAGATATTTTCTCCAGTTGTTCGATTAACCACAATCAGAATTGTTCTGGCAATGTGTGCTGCATTTGATTTACATCTTGAGCAACTTGATGTAAAGACTGCTTTCCTACATGGAGAACTTGAAGAGGAAATATATATGCTCCAACCAGAAGGTTTTGAAGAACAAGGAAAGGAAGACTTGGTTTGCAGGTTGACCAAATCTCTGTACGGTTTAAAACAGGCGCCAAGGTGTTGGTACAAGAGATTTGATTCCTTCATTATTAGCTTCAGATACAACAGACTGAGTTCAGACCATTGTACGTATTACAAGAGGTTTGGTGATAATGATTTCATCATTTTGTTGTTGTATGTGGATGACATGCTGGTGGTAGGCCCCAGCAAAGATTGAATTCAAGAATTGAAGACACAATTAGCTAGGGAGTTTGATATGAAGGACTTAGGACCAGCAAACAAGATTTTAGGGATGCAAATACACCGAGACAGAAAAGATAGGAAGATTTGGCTCTCTCAAAAGAATTATCTTCGTAAAGTCTTGCGGCGCTTCAATATGCAAGACTGTAAACCAATCTCTACCCCACTTCCTGTCAGTTATAAATTATCCTCAAGTATGTGTCCTAGCAATGAAGCGGAGAGGATGGAAATGTCTCGACTGCCGTATGCATCAGCGGTGGGAAGCCTTATGTATGCCATGATTTGTACTAGACCAGACATTGCACAAGCAGTGGGAGCAGTCAGTAGGTACATGGCAAATCCTGGTAGAGAGCATTGGAATGTTGTAAAGAGGATCCTTAGATACATAAAAGGAACCTCTAATGTTGTATTCTGTTTTGAAGGATCAGAATTTATTGTGAAAGGCTATGTTGATTCAGATTTTGCAGGAGATCTGGATAAAAGGAAATCTACTACTGGTTATGTGTTTACACTTGCTGGAGGGGCAGTAAGCTGGTTATCTAAGTTGCAGACTGTTGTGACTTTGTCTACTACAGAAGCTGAATACATGGCAGCTACTGAGGCATGCAAGGAAGCAATTTGGATTCAAAGGCTATTGGAGGAACTTGGGCACAAACAGCAGATTACTACTGTGTATTGTGACAATCAAAGTGCTTTGCATATTGCAAAGAATTCAGCTTTTCATTCCAGAACAAAGCACATAGGTATACAATACCACTTTGTCCGTGAAGTAGTAGAAGAAGGAAGAGTGGATATGCAGAAGATCCATACTAAAGAAAACATAGCAGATATAATGACAAAGCCAGTCAATAGTGACAAGTTTACATGGTGTCGGTCCTTATATGGCCTATTAGAAATATAAGCAACATGTAATGTATTAGGAATGTGTGTGAAGATATGATTAACTTAATCATAATCTTCAAGTGGGAGAATTGTTAGGAATGAAGTCCCACATCGGTGGGAACTTCAAGTGGAGGCCCCTCCTTTACTTATATAAAGGGTAAGGGTCCATCAATTAAAATCATCCCAAAATCCTCTCTTTCCCTTTCATTTTGTATTACACTGAACTTGTACTTGATAGTAATAATCTCCTATTTTGAGGAGTAAATTTTAGAGTGAGAAGTAGTGTAATTTTTTTTTCTGTGATAATTTTATATTGTCTTTATTGGCTCTTATTTTTCATCTCTTATTTTA